CCCTCCCCTCGCTCACCGCACCGGCCTTGAGTTACCTCTCTGCTCTTGCGGCCGGCCGCAGCCGACGCTGCTGCTGCCGCTGCTGCTCCTGCTTTGTGTTTTATGTAATAACTCCTCTTCCCCCACGTCCCCTCTCCCGCCCAGCGCATCCCGCAGGCAGCCAGTAGTTACCAGGAAATAAAAAGAAAGTATCCAGTCAATCGAGCGAGCGAGCGTCTGGTGGGAGAGACCAAAGTTGGCGTGTACTCTGGCAAGACGAGAAAGAAATAATAGGTCGAAATGTTAATGGCGTTCTCTTCCACCCTTACAGCGAACCGTAGATATATTTTTACTCCCATCAAATGCAGAAACGCTTTTCGTTCTTGCACTATAAAGAAAGTTTAGGACTTCTTTTTTGAGGGGCCTTGTGGGGCATCGCTCCGCTTCTATACGTGTTCTTATAGAGAGGCGAGGCGAGCGGGACACTCTTTGCTTTTTGTTGTCGTCTGCCCCAGAGCCCCTCCCGGAGTCCCGGAGTAAGCCGGGTGGAGAAGAGGCCGCGCCGTAAAAGTCAGTCACCGCGCGGCTGGGCGGACCAGACCGCTCCGCCCCGCGATACTCCAATAAAATACCATTTTCTGAGGAAAGATCATGGTTTCCAGAAACAAAGCCGTGCGCCGCGCTCTCGGCGTTGGTGTTTGTTTTTTCTCTTCTGTCCCCTCGTCGTCTCCCCGCTTGCCCCCTCCACCCTTTCTCCGCCCCCCTCCCTCTACCTCTTCCTTCGACCGATTCTTATCTCCCGGGACGCTTGTTTCCGTGGGGGAGTGCTGGCGGTGGCGTGTTATCAACAGGTCCCCCCCTTTACACCGCACCTCGCCACACCTGCGTCTGGTTGGTGTTGGTCTGGTTGTCTCTCTCCCTCTCTTGCTTTTGCCCTTGCCCTACGCGAAGAAGCCGTTTTCTTTATTCATTCTTTTAGCTTTTATAAAACTCCTCCTTTTGCGCCGATGCTGCTTTGCTTATTTCTGTGTCGCCGGCTGCAACGGGAGGGGCGGGCTCTGATTTTTATCGACCCCTTTTATACTTTGCCCGCGCTTGGGTTCGCCACGCTTCGTTTGAGAAGTCCAGGGCAGTCTGGTCGCTGACAAAAGCAGGCAGCGCGCGGCTCCAGGCGGCTCCAGGCGGCTCCAGGCGGCTCCAGGCCTGGAGACGGATACAGTAGGAGGAGCAGGGCAGGGCGGCGGCGCGCTGGATAGCTCCCGGGCTGTAGCTTTTGTACCAGCGTCTCCCGGCGTTGTGCTCGCTTCTATGCAAGATTAGCCCCCCCTCCTTCCTACCCCCCTTCATTTAATTCCGCAATCTTCTTTACTTTCCATCTCTCGTCGTCATGGCGTGCCGGCGGCAGCGGCGGTTGTGGTGCATTATTGTGGAACTGGAGCGAGCCACCCGAAATTGAGGCAGCAGCAGTAGCAGCGGGGGCAGCAGCAGCAGCGGGGGATTTTCCTGTAGTCCTCGCGCAGCACGCTGCAGGAAACGAAGGACATGCTCGCACTTGGACCACTTAGCACTTACCAGGCACTACGCGGCGGCGGCGATGCGTCCGATTTGTCTCTTCCTGCGGAGGTGACGTGTGTGACTAACACACCACCGGACCCGGAGGCGCAGGCAGGAGCTGGGATGCTGGGCAGGACCGGAAGGGGTTTGTTGGACTGACTCACCGCCTTGTCACCTGCTTTGTCAACGGCAGATAGGGAGGGGTGCGGGGGAGGG